CGTATTTCGCATATTTTCCATCTTTCATAAATGCTAAAAGACACTATTTATAACTGGGGGAGCCTATCTACTGTTTTGTTACCTGTCAATGAAATTAACAGGCATCATTTACTCATTATTATGGTCAGCATTAATATTGCTGATCAAGGTACTTAACTTTGTTGGAGCTGATACGACAGAAATGACCCTCGGGTAAGTACTTTTTGAAAAACTGACCGTACACAAAGTACGATGAGTGATGTGTTCGAGCTTTCGCCTTTCGTTTGACATATTTTGCACTTTTATCACTTTGCACTGTTGTAACCACTACGAAAGACTGTGTAGTTAACGAAATTTTTCGCAAAAGCTTCATGGGTGGTAGCTCAAATGAATTCGAATTCAGATGGAGAGTTTAACCTGACCCCGAAATATTTGTATCAGCTCCTCGGAAAACTTTGCCGAATAATTTTAAGCTCCGTTCATTGTAGTAAGGTGAAACAATTGTGTTGAGCTCTCCACGCGACATGTTAATGGTTCACAGCTACGGAAAAAAAGAATGTACAGGAATATTGTGCCAAAATGTGTGACTGGTAGGCTAAAAATGCTGTCTATTTATAATTACGAGCCCTTCCGATTCTTGCTGAATTCTACACATTAGTGTGCGCAAACAGAGATGAGCCTCGTGCTTTACTAACTCTGTCCCTAATTAAGTTTCAAAAGATTCAAATCGGCTTTGCTATCATTGAGTTAAGTAATTTTTAATAAGCTTATTGTTTGCTTGTCGGTAAAAGTATAAAACAAGTTAGGTGATAGTTTACAGAAAACAACAAGTAAATAAAATGATTTTCCTATTGAGCGGTTCACCAATAAAGGAGTGCCTTGAGGGGAAGGTGTCTCAATGCAGAGATCGCCCGCTAGATACGGGGGAATAGTATGATTGTGAATTATAAAAATATGACAATTCGAGTTATGCGTTTCACACAATACCATCACAAAATTTAATGTGAAGCGGTAATCTCCTGGGGTTGCGAAGCCTTTCTATCTGGGTTGATCATGTGTGTGTGTGTGCGTGTATGTGAATATCACAACACTACCCTTGGGGTCTCACATAACCGATTTGAGTGAGCATTATGCACTTAATGTCTCTTTATTGATTAAGGAAGCAGTCTCTTTTGCTTATCGGTGAAAAAGCAGATCACCTTAATTTGCATGTGATTCTCCATACGGAAGCGATTTGTCAGGACGGGCTACTAATAAAGCAATAGAACCATTGGATTGCATAGTGTTGGCATCTGTGATAGAACTGTCACGGATTAAAGCACATTGTCTGAAAAGTGGTTCGTTCTGTCGCAGCTCGACTCTGATGTGTCTGCTTCTAAGGAGAATTGGATGCACGTGGACAAGTTGTGGGAAGATGAATTTTCTGTCCAACTATCCATTTCTATGGTTGGTTCCAATCATCCATGTAACACGGATTCCCTGAACCGCATTCCTACAGTTGATCTTCTTCAACAATTATTGGATCTTATTATATGAACTTTCCCGATCTTTCGACATGTGAGTACCCTATTTACTCCAACTGAGGACCAAACGGATTGCTCAGTACTGCTCGTACGTAAATCTTACTGACACCTTAATGTAAATAGTACCGTCGGCTTTTATAAAACAAGTTGACGTTAAAACGGAACTTTAACGTAGCTAAGCGAATCCAATCACCTGTGACGTGTGCAGTTTTCAGGAATCGCTTATTTGCATTGAGAATCGGATTAAACTATAAGTTTCACAAACTTTGTACGTCTGAGTAGTAATTCCACGACTGTCGTCCCTTTGGTATTGGTCACACCCAAACAACCGCGTTTATAAAACCTGTTTACTACTGCATAAACAGGGTGATAGGAGTAAATCTAGAATAGCGGAAACAACTGTTGTATACGACAATTATGATTTACTTGAAAGTATTAGGTGCAGTTACGGAATTTTATCATTTGGTCACGCCCCTTTCCGCAGTTTTAAATTAAGGAAGAACTATTTTCCTAATGCATCCACCGTACATTAATTTGAAGACATCCAGTTCGCCCTACGTTTACCACGAGAAGGAAAAATCACAATTCAGAGAAATAAATTAAATTTGGTTCTTTCTAGTGTTTTCAGTCAGATACATTCACAGAATAGCGGTAAAAAGTCAGAAAGAGGTTGTAAAAGTGTGTCTCAGTTTTAATCAATAACTTTGAGTTTTACCAAGTCACCATTCTCAACATCAGATATCTACAGTCTCGGATTGTACGAGGAGTGTCCCTTGAGTGTGATCTTGCCCGAATTTTCTTTATTCATCCAAATAGGTTCTGTCAGAGGATTAGATGGTTTCTGTTTTCCTAGTACATTCATATATTCATTTTGTGTCAAAGATGAAACATTATCATCATTCCACTCTCACTAAAATAACAAGCCGCTCCCGGTTTTCATTGCGTCATTCTTCATGTCTCCCGGCAAGTTGATCACTTAATTATGTGATTATCACTTAAATATACAGGAACGATCTACTTAAAATACACCTCATTATGGTAACTATGGTACCATTTAGAAATTCGACAATTTGGATTCCACTGGATGCCTTGGTCTCGTTTTCTTTTCATACTAGAAAAAAAGAAATATTACGAATTGATTCAATTCTGCGCGTTAATTGACCTTTTCGATAGGAAAAAAGCTGAACATGTACGATTTTAAGGATGCATAACACTTATTATTCTGGGTGATTTTTGAAATTCGCTGGCTTCCTCTTACCTCACATGGACACAAGTGTGGATGTTGTTTCTACTAGTTCAACAAGGTGTGGGCGGCAATTTAAGAGCTAAGTGTTATCCGTGTTGATCGACTGAGTGAGCCTCACTCAGCCATCGTATTTGATTTACAACCGTAAGGAGCTGACAGACGGGAACTTACAACAGGAGGGTTCATTATGAAAACATCTGTTCGATGATGCGGGTCGGAAATTAAACACCGCGCTGGTTATACTGGTTGATATATCCACACCGGTAATCTCAAACATTTCTCCATTCCACAATATGTGAGCATGGGAGTTCAGTCAGAATCTAAATTATGCGTCTGCTATTAGTTATATTGTAAAATGTCCTATTGGACTAGTCCTGGAAAAAAGCTAGAGAGTGAAAATATCACTTCAATTTGTTATGGAGTTGACAATAAAAAGGCTTATGGTTAAATAAGAATTACGTTGTAGAATCAGTGACAGAATACTGGTAAAGGCATTGAAGGTGGGCACAAACTTTCTCATCTAGGTGGGGCGATTATTGTCGACCTAATACAGTTGAATTGAACTTTACAGTTGACACGTAGGATAAATAAACTTGAGTTGAACCCCACCTAGCTGGGCTGCAGACAAATATTAAGGGTGATTAGCCTTAGTTTCACAAATGACAGATTTTATGCAAGGAGTGAACGGACATCACCGCCCACTGAGAACGAAGATTTATCATACCAAACTTACCTTTGTGTGTGAAAATGTCTCATCAGTTGACCCCATTAGTGTCTGGTATGCATTACCCGAGGATAATGATCAGCAATGATGAATTGTGGTATCACGTAAATATTACGCTAGAAACAATCACGATGCTGCTAAGATAGAATGCCTTCATAAACCCTATTTTCCCTGTGAAATTTTATAGACTGTTGGTGTTAAAATTTCAAGCCTACGCCACATTGCACCAGTCTGTTGGTGAAAACGGATAAGCAATGCCGACGTTAAGCGCAGAGTTTATGGTAGTCGTGATTGCCCAGTGGAGCAGGTGCTCGACCTCCTTAGATAACGTTGGTCGGGGCATGTGCTAAGCACGTCACCGAATAGATTCCTCATCCAGGCAGGTAATGGGTGGAAAAAGTCAAGCATAGATCTGGCATGAGGGCATGAGAACCGTTTCCAGGAAATTTGCTCACTCAGGTGGCGTTAGGATTCGTGGATGGTAACCTAGAGGTTATTGTAAGTCATGGTTAGATGCACCGAGTGTTGTATATGAATATCGTCAACAGCGGTGATTGAGTATCTTATCCTTGTCCTTGCAATCTTAGTCTACCAGAGTTCTCTATTTTCACCTTGACGCTGCTTTTCTTCCGAATGGGCAATCAAAAGACGGCAACCAAAACCGTTGCACAAAATTGCATGGGTAATAGCCGGTCAAATTGAAACTGAAACCAAAACTTTTTTAATCTGTTGGCGAAATTAGAACTGTTCGCGTTGATAAACAAATTGTCCACTTTTAAATGAAGAAAAATGGTTTGCTCGTGTTCGTATCGGATTTCCTGCAATCTGCTCTCTTGAGGAACGGATTTAATCAGTAAACCAATTGTTCTTATTCTTACAAAATTAGAACACGTAACAATCCTGTTCAAAACGGTGGATGCAGAAATGAATTTTCCAGGAACAACTATCCTAATAATTTTTTAAACAGAACAAGTTTCCATCTCTGTCCATCTATCTTGCTATCCGTTTCGTTTACTCCATGTGGTTGAAAGAAATAACCACGCACTCCTTTACATCATCATCATGAGCATCATCATCATGAACAACAACAATAACAACACCACCATTGTACAAAAAATGCAGTGAGGCGAACTTCAATGATCGCTGCCAAATTCGTAGTGCATACAAAGTCAAGACGCCAGACAATTAATCTACCTAATCGCTCTGCGCATTTTTTCATGCCTCCTCAACAGACCGCAAAATAAAGAGAATCTAGAGTATTCCATCCTGAAATAACCTTCATTTATAAAAATTATTATTGTGAATCTCAGAAGGACCAGAAATTATCCAGCCTCATTGGTGTCTTTTCGGGCTCCATCAGCGGTTAAAACAAATTTATGTTACCCGTTCTATCACTTTTTCAATCCTCTTCAAGACTTGATGACCTACTACCTCCGATAATATAACTGTAATCGTAATTCGTTACTGATTTTACTGGTGTTACGATCAATTTAAGGTTACCAGCTGTTTACGCAGTGTTGTTCTTTGAATGTATTCAACTCCTGTAAAAGACACAGTTCCGGCCAGGCTACCCGTTCATGGATTCACTTTGGCTCCATCAGACCAACGTGAACTTCCCGTAATAGATCATGTTCCAATGACTTTACCGGTTCAATCACATCCCGTGCGACATTCACACTCGCCAACGGGCTTTGGACCAAGGTCTCGACCAGGGGAACACCAGCCCAAGTTCAAACCAGAGCCCAAAACCACTGCCGATCGATCATTATCCAAATACAGGACCTCCGTGTGTTCTGGACCTGCCCTGAGAAATATTTTACCGGAGTCTAATCGCCGAGTGTATGATACGTTCCGATTATTACCAGCTGACGGAAAAACTGTTGGAACACGACAGCTCATATTTATTCGCACGAACGTGGATGGAACAGACCGAACAGCGTTGAAGGTTGGTTTAACTGATCTGCGAAATGATTTACAAAGCAAAACAAAAAGAGAGCAAGATGCTTTTCGTAGAACAATTAAGAAAAACTAAAATTCTGCATGAATCGATTAGTAACGTTGGTGGTGGTGATTCTTAATTTTATTTAGTTAACTGTGAAAAACAACGAATGCTTTGATGAGTATGTTGTGTAATACTCATTCATTGAGTGCCTATTAGTCTGCATCCGTGAAAATAGGTTAAATAAGATCAGTACAAGTAATAATAACGACGTGATCATTATCGTTATGGTTGTCGTTAAGCACACGACTCACATTGCATCCGTATTGCAGCTGTTTATCGGTCTAATTATTATTCAAAAAAAATTAATTAATTAGAGCCTATTCATTATGACTTCCATTCTGGGAACCTGACTCCCCGAGTACATAAATTTGAATGGTACACGAAATCTCGCAAACTTTCATGTTATTCTAATGGTTATAAAAGACAACAAATGCGTCATCTAATGAAGTTTTACGTATCTACAATACATGGTCCCTAATCAGAGGGTGCCGAAAACACATCACACAATTGAATATAAAAATGAATCATGAAGGTAATCAAAATTGAAAAGTAAATGCAGCATCATCTCTGTTTTACGTCTTCCAGCTCACTGTGTTACCATGTTTCTGGTCGCCAAATCAAATCAGAGGTACAAAGAACCAACAGAGTACTACATAGTTTATAATTCACCGCACCAAAGCAAATAGTTTGGGAGCGGTATGGGTGATTGTAGTCTGAAGACACGTTTCCTCATATGTATGCATTGTAGTGTCTTATATCCAGGGTCCCAGCTGGCATTTTCCATTGAAACGGGTTGGGTCGGTAGATTTGGAATCTGGATCTTATCAGCCAGTTGTGCTAGCCAGGGTCAGTCAGATTCACTGTCAACACGAACAGATTTTCCCGATATAGCTGTTCTTTGTTTCCGTCCAACTACAACAACAGTGAGGCTCAAAGTGCACGCAACCAGTTTTGTGAGATCGGTTTTGGCATTTTAGTTAATCAGGCTATCTGCATTCCATCGAGCACGTACGTCATTAGAAAACTGGAATGCAACCTAGGTGCAGACTCTTTTGTGAAGTGCGGTATCCCCATTCGAAGTGTGAGTAAGAATGCCGAACACACGTATATAGCACGCAGCGCAAGTCGGAAATACTATCGTGCACACACAGGCACAATTCGCTGCTCCAGTGCATCCGGGGCAGTAGTGATAGAAATGCAAGCAAATGAAGGCAGTCAGAGTGACAAACACAAGATCTCAGTTACTTAATCACATAATCAGAGCAAACAGGAGATCTGTCTGGTGGAAGAGTACTAGGGAAATCAGTAATGCAAAAAGCAAACAGCTAAATGAGAGAGAAGGTTTTGAACACAGGCGCCTGTTTAACACCATGGACCGCCTACAGAAAGTACCAGGCGTACAAAAGAGCAAAGAGAAATAATTATGACACTCGTTGATCTATGTTTTGAGAGAAAAATAAAAAAGGATTGCTCACAAGTAACATTGAAATTCTGTTACAGAGTAAACGGAATTACAAAGTATTCTTCAAACGCTCTAATATACTTCGAATTCCCGCACCGCTATTGCACTAACGAGTCGGTACTGATTCCCGTCAGGCATAATTATTGCGATGAAAGAATTTTACAATTTCTAAGATGAATATTGATACCATAGAGTTTACTGGAAAAAGGATATCTATATATATATGTATTCTTTTGGACACACTTTTGTATGACATTTTCATTAAAAGTATTGGGAAAATAAAACAGAATGACACAGTGGATGGAAATATAAATACCGATCGACAACCGTTTGAAAGTATTTGGACATTTGGGTATCCACGTCAAATTCTATTTCAGACAAACTTACGAGGCTTTAGTTTATCATGTTCCACAGGATAAATGCATGATGGATTTAGATTGCGGTAGGAGTAGCGAAAAGCTTTATCCTCATAATTTCGCAACCAGACAAATTGGTACTCTAATAATAGAGGGAGCATCTTATCAGCCGCGCAAATTCAGTTCACCTAGCGAGCAACGAACGTACACTCTAAGTAAGACCGGTGACCATCAGAATGCACGTCTCTTGGAACACTTGTACTTTCCTCACTACCTGTATTCAACAGTGATGATAATCAGCATCATTTTATTGCGTTTTCTGATCAAATGTTTACGGGAAAAATGGAGTGAAAACAGTCTTCTCACCATTGATTTGCAATTCTCTTTCTCTCTATCTATCCATCTATGGATTTCGGCTTCCGTGGATGGTATTTTATACTTTGGGGAAGAATCCTAATGTGCAAACTAGCAGCCTGAAGTATGCGACCTCTCTTATACCATGGCCGATAATCCTCTCCAAACACTTAGTGCAAACAGCGATTACCAAATCACGGGTACTGTTGAACACGCCACGTAGGTATTCTAGACAAACAAAACCCTAACCACAACCGAGAGGATGCTGATGATCTCACACTCTTGGTTGAAGTTTGCATTGACCTGGCTTAGAAAAGAAAATCATGTTGAGGAGACCACATCGCAGAGCGATACGTGCATCATTTGAGTTTTAAGGAGATTAACACCTGGTTACTGCTACGTTGATTGTTGATCGGCTTTTGGCAAACTATAGCTCAGTTATAATGTCATGGAAGGTGTACTTGATCAGTCTACAAGGGTTGATTAATCACGATTGTTTTTCCAGTTAGCCGATGTACTGAAATAATTTGCTATCATCTATACGACCTATATAATCAGAAACCACGGCTGAAGAGTTACAACGAAACCTACGAAACAGCTGTCTAGCGCTCTTCGTCGACCGTTATACAATTTTAGGTCGGCTGTTATTAAGCAAACTCCCCATGGGTGAGACCCATACAGTAAGATAAGTAAACAGACACTGATATCGTGACCAACCCAAGAACACGCTTGATTTAAGGGATGAAGTAGTTATTCTCAAAGACATGGTGGTCAATGGATAGGATATTATTCATAAACAGTGAAATCATAGAAGTTTTTGATGTGATGCTTAGAGTGGAAATATTGAAGAAAGAGTTTGCATTAAAATGCTCAGTCAGTTATGAGTCAGGATGCTATTATGGAGAGGTATGTTAACAAGCTGCTCTTGAAATGAGTAAGAAGCATAGTTAACCATTCACTAGCAGAAACCTTTAAAGCTATGGGTCTTCTAGTACAAATTCAAGGGAGCGCGCCTGTGGTTCGGTTCGAATAAGAATAGTTCAAGAACCCGTGAAATCATGTGCATTTTTTATAGTCAGAAGTCTTGCATTTTGATTGAGCCAATTTTGGTCACGCTATTTCGGCTAACGAGCTAGATCAACTAACAGAAAAAGAAGTAAGACAAGAGAGCAAAAGGCTGGGAGCAGAATGACAATAAGTAAACAGAATTCTGATAATTTAAATAAGAAATAGAGGGAGTAGATGCACAATACCTCAGTTTACGACACCAAGTCGAACCTGCAAGTTTGTCTCACCAGTGCAATCGACTAGTCTGGCTCAAATTACGGAATGGTATTATCGTGACTGAGCAGTGCATTGGTTTCCGTATGTTGGTTGGATCACATGAACCGGGATTTCATTCTATGAACTGCACGTTCCAGCTATGCATCCAGGAATACTGAATGATTTGCCAGGATTAATAGCATTTGTCGACTACTAGATCTCAAAAGATTAATTGAGCTAGAATTCCATTTCATCAGTAACATGAGTGAATCGGGGTTCTTGGTTTCATGAACTCGAGGGTAGAACCCCTTATGGATGTCGGTCTTCTGTTGAACATCAAAAATTTCATCTGAAAACCAACCACTATCAATCTACCAACCTTAAACTGGCTCTGGTTGTATGCAAACCATTGATCAGTGGAATAGACTATTACAGTAACTCTGATTCCCCTTCTATCAACCCCAGTATCAGTTAGTTCAAGTGAGATTGAGGTATAATGTTATGTACCGAGCATAGAAAATATGATGTCAAATTCTCGCAATTCATTAAAAGTACTGTTTGTCCGGTTAATATATGTCTTTCTCCGCCTTCCTTGTTTGATAAACCTGTAGAATATAATGTTATTCACCATGGTCTCAAATAAGCTCCTTCGTATCGGTGAATGATGCAAAAGATACATATTATTTTGGTTTTTATTCTGGTACGTTTTAAGTATATTGTATGCTCGGTGCATCTACTGAATCGCATATTCAGATATTTTCTGACTTTCGGGGAAGTCATTGACACATGGGTGTTCATTGTGACCAGTTATCACTTACTATGGTGTGAAAAACAAAAGATGGTTAGGATTTACAAATGACTGCAGTTGAAAATGTCGAGAGAAATAAAATCTTGAGGTATCGTTCTTAGAGTTAAACCATACTGTCTGACTGTCACCAAGTTCTGCGTACGTTTTGTGCAAAACGTTGATGAAAAAATTCATTTGATGTTCCGATGTGTTGATCAAATAAATTTTTATTTCCTGTGTTTCTTTCTAACAGTCCTCCTCGTTCATCGAACCACATTAAAGTTTTGCGTTTCTTTTGCATTTAAACCCCAGGTTGTTCTCTCACGACGTGCTGTACAAACACTTGGACAGGTGATCTGTGAGGTATCCGAGGCGTTCGGCCCCAAATGGAGTCACGATCCCATACGACATGTGTACGCCGTGACCGGTCGAGAGATACGTTCTGTTGTGGAACTGTTTCGACCGCAGAAAGTGTTTATCGCCACCGGAATGCAACGCCTATTCGGAACCGGTCGTTCTACTGATCGGGGTTTGCTAGCCGCAAGTCAATGCAGCACCCTGAGCAACAACAACAACAGCCAACAAATGGACCCGATCAAGGGAGAAACACTGAGAGTAAGATCTGATAAGAGCGCAGAATGTTTTTGCCTGGTGCTAGACGTTTATAAACGCATGTAGTTTTCACTGGCATTCCACGCATGCGAGAGGGGTAAATAACTAAAAGCGTATATATTTACCCATGGTTGGACCATTTTCCATGTCGCCATCGATTAAACACATATTTCGTAAAAAGGTATGCCGATTACAACGTTACGTGAATCCATTGCTCGCATCATAATGGGAAATCCCGTTGCGCAACTGGTGTACTCTCAATTGGGCGTACCTTATCAGACTCGATTCACCATAACCAATCGATTGCTTCAAAGGTGAACAAAAAGCAGCCTATAAAAGAGATGACAGAGGTGAAGGAGGGTAGAGCGGTTGATTCATTCGACTAATTCTTCACGAGCATTTGGCTGATTTGCTGAAAGTTAACTGCTCATTAACAAAAGTTACACAGTATGGGCAGTTCAATAAAAAAATCCGAATCGATTACTTATCAACCTCACTGCAATATTCATGGATTATCTTGCTTTTTGGACGTTTTGCAATCACCGTTTTTACAAATTTGACATAATAAATTGATTTCCCACTGATAATAACTCACTGTACATTGTTATCATAAGAGATGGTATTGGTGATTCTGAAAATCAAAATGTACAAATATGTACTAAGCACATGTTTAAGCATAAAATAGGAATCAACCATTAAAAGCTTACAGCTTATCAATGGGAAAGAAATGTGAGTTCGAACCGTGGATGGTTCAAATGTTTGAAAGATAAACGTTTTCCTGATCGCATGGTAAACCCTAAACGAGAAAAAAGCGTCATCGGGAAATTGCCTTTCACAAATCTTGCCCCATAAAGACCTTTGAGTGTTCTCATGTTTCTCAACCTAAAACCTCAAGTGAACCAGGAAGCAGAAGGACTTTCGCCAATTTCTCTACTAGTCTGTGCAACAAATTCTCCGATCTGTTTTCACGAATTCCATCATTAATCAAACGCATTAGATCATTAAATTTGTATTTTCAGTCATTCACTCATCCGTTTTATTGCATTTTTAACCATGGGTGAAGATTTAAAAGGGACATAGTGAACACGGAATGAGAGAGACCAATGATACTTATGGTTTTGCTGTTTACACTAGCTCCAGCACAAGCAGCACATGCTTGCCTGCCCAGTGTAACGGCACTCATCCGACTGTCAGCCCATTTGAGTGACTGAATGTTCACAGGCCTGAAGGTGTGATTAGGTAAACTGTTGAGTGAATTGCTATTGCGTCACAGCTTAAGAGAGCGCGTGTTATTGGTTCAACGGTTTATACCTCTAAGGTCACATTATTCTCTCTGAATTAATTTACTACATGCTCTGCTCAGTTGTAAGACAGTTCGCAACATGAATACTCATCCGAATTCACTTATGGTTTGCTACACACCAAGCTTCGTGTAGACAGAGTGATGCGGCCTCGATCGACTGTTTTTGGGTCTGGATTGAGTGCAATTAATCAACGGTTACCGTGGCTGATGACAATTTGAATGTATATAAAATATATGCATTCAGATAGAACATAAGTATTTATCATATACAATTTTGAGCTCGCTGATGGACCAACATTTTTTATTCCCACTTTGATTTTCCGAGAAAATCGGGAGGATCCACATAATAAAAACGATGCACTTGATTCATATCTGCGAATTCGCGCGGAAAATAACAAGAACATTGCTAT